CACCCCTCCCCAGACCCTGCTTCCCTTTGTGCTACCCCCCACGCCCCACCTTGGCGGTCTTGATGATCTCGGTGAAGTTGTCCATGATGGACTTGATGTCATCCTTCAGCCGCTTGTTGTAAGACTGCAGCAGTGTCTCCTTGCTCTGGGGCAGGGCTCTCTGCTGGGCCATGGCAGAGCCTCAGGCGGCACAGGGGCGGAGACCTGGACGTAGAGTGCAGGACAGACCCCTGAGTGCAGGCAGAGCCCTCAACCACCCTCTATGCCCCAAGCTTAGCAGAACACCCAGATTTCCGGGGATTCCCTTTCTGCCAAATAAAGTCAATCACTGAAACACAGATGAACTCATTCCATCAGCAGGCACCGCAGTGGGTGCCGGGACTCTCCTCGGGCCCCGCCTCTGCCAGAGCAAGCAAGCTAATCCTAGAACTCCTGGCCAGCCCTCCAAGCCCTGTCTAGGGCTCCAGTCCATACTTCGCGTCCAGGCCCACAGCGTGTCCCAGCAAGGCCTGCAAGCTCAACTGCAGCTCCCTGGCCCTGGCCCTGGCCCTGGCCTAACTTCTTAGCCCGCTGCCACTCCCGCCCTCCCATCTGAGGAGTCCTTCCAATCGAACCCCTCTGCACCGCCTGCGTCCACTCTGATTCCACTCCCACTTCGGCTCCTGACTTCATCTCTGCACTGCGCCCAGCTCCCTCCAGTTTCCACGCGGCAGGGAAAAGGTCCTAAAAAGCGGTCATTCTGGCAGGGCGCGTCGTGGCTCACACCTGGAATCCTAGCACTTTGGGAGGCCGAGGCGGGCGGATCACCTGAGAGGTCAGAAGTTCGAGACCAGCCTGACCAACATGGTGAAACCCCGTCTGTATCAAAAATACGAAAATTAGCCGGGCGTAGTGGCGGGCGTATGTAATCCCAGCTACTCGGGAGGCTGAGACGAGAGAATCGCTTGAACCCGGCAGGCGGAGGCTGCAGAGTCGAGGTCGCGCCACTGCACTCCAGCCTGGGTGACAGAGGGAGACTCTTGTCTCAAAAAGAAAAAAAAGGGGTCATTCCACTCCTTCTCTTAACAGCCCTCACGGCTGCTCGGTACGCCGGGACGCGCGCCTGTCGGCCTCTGCCCTGCAGCCGCACCGGGCGGCCTCGGCGCTGCACCTGCCTGGCCCTCGGGCCGGGTCTTTGCGCGCGGTGCTCGGGGAGGGCCTGGGGCCCCCTCGGTTCGGGGCCTGGCGCGAGGCCGAGCGGACTCCCGGACGCACTCGCGCTGTTCGCGCCCATATTTGGCGGGATGGGGGAAATAAGTCACGCGTGATAACGTGGCCCCTGACCCCAGCCCCCCCGACCCACCCACCCACCAACCCACCCCACCCACATCCCCACCCCCGACACACCTCCGTCCCCAGCGCCCACCACATCCTCACCCCCACCCAGCGCCCACGCACCAGACGCCGCAACCGCGGGGTCGGCCCGGGGCGGGGTGGACGTGCCTCCGGGACCCGCACTTTCCCGCGCCACTCCCCAGGCCGGGCCCGCCCGCCGCAGTCTCTCGGCCCACACTGGGTGTTCCCGGTCGCTCCGTAATCCGAAAACCGAGTGCGCCGCCGCAGGTTCTCCGCCCCGCCTGGATTTTTAGGTGTATAGGAGTCCTGTTGCTTTAAATCTGAAATCCCGCGCCGGTTTGAACTCTCGCGATCAGCCATGCGGCATATTTATCACCCAGAATTCCGTTTTGTTTTTCCCGCTGCCCAAGATGGTGAGTGACGTTTCCTTTTGCTACACCGTATCCGGGTCCCGACTTCATCCGCTGCCATCCTCCTCCAGGCGCGGCCTCACAGGGCCTCCTGCTCCGCCTAGCTCTAGGAGAGCCGTACCCGGTGTGGCACGGAGACACTGAGACGGACTAAAGCCCTGGGCGGCCGGAAGCGGGATGCGCTGGTCCCGCTGCCGCTGGGCTGGAGGAGGGGGGCCGGGAGCGCCGCGGCGCGGGGCTCGGACGGGGCGGAGGCGCTCGGAGCACTAGGGAGCGGCGCCTGGTTTTTCTCAGGGCCGCCGCAGAGCCTTTGACCAACGAGTTCCGAGCCGCACCTGCTGCTTGTGGAGCCTGCGGGGCCGCGGCTCGGGCGTCCTGGGTCCCGTCCGGGGCGTCTGCTCCGTGGGCGACGCGAAGAGCGCGTGGCGTTGGCCTTAGCCGGGCTCCGGCCACTCGGGCTCCGTGCGCTGCGTGCTCGTGCGGCCCGTGGGAGACGCTCCTGCCGAGGCATGGCGAGGACGTTCCCGGCAACCAAGGCCGCGGCTGCACAGGCTGGGGGGGCGCCGGGGGGCTTCAGCACGCAGCTCGCCCGCCTGGTTCGGCCAGGGGCCGTCGGCGCCCCTTGTTTCGAAGGCGCCAGCCTGAGACCTCCCGACGAAGGAGGCGGCGGTTTAACCGGGATTTTCTTTGTGTCCAGCCGAAAGGAGAGAAGGCCAAGGGGGAGGAGGTGGCTCCGGCCCCTGCTGTCGTGAAGAAGCAGGAGGCCGAGAAAGTGGCGAATCCCGTGTTTGAGCACAGGCCGAAGAATTGCGGTATCGGTGAGCAACAAACGGTAGAATGAAAACGGTCTACGTTTTTTCCCAAGGAAATGTGGTCATGGGGTTGAGTCGGATCTTGTAGGTTTTAGTGGGTGTGAAGTGGTCTCAGTGCTCAATTTGTGTCTCTTAGAGACGGGCAGTGATGGTGCCCGTCTCTCGTTTTCATTGGGAGTTGCTGAGTGAGCGTTCGGCCGAATAGGGTAGCGGCCTTGGATTCAGCTTGGCCATCCGAAAACAAGTACAGTAGTGTTGTCCCAGCGTGGCCCTCGGACTGCAATTCTGCTGTGCTTGGTGGCACCTTGGCTTCTTGTTAGGAAAGGCGTCGTATTCTCGATCGCGTTCTCAGGTGTTTGTGTGCAGATGATGTAAAAGAATATTTGCTATCTGAAAGACGGTGATGACGTTTTAAACCACCAAGATCGCTGATGCACCAACACCCTTCTGAGGGGCCCCAGACATGAACTTGAAACGGAATTTGAGCCTCACTCGGTCGATGTCGCCCTTTATTTCTCAGGACGGGCCGTCCAACCGAAAAGAGACCTCACCCACTTTTTGAAATGGCCCAGCTGTATCAGGTTGCCGCGGCAGAGAGCCATCCTTTATAAGGGCTGAAAGCGCCTCCTGCCGTTAACCAGCTCACCCAGGCCCTGGACCGCCAAACAGGTGAGGTTGTGTGACCTGGAAAGGAGTTTCTCAGGCAAAGACTGAAGTCTGACAGTTGTATATCTGAGTCTTCCGGGGTGGGGGGGAGGGGTACTTTGAGGCTGATGAGTTAATTAAAATCAATGATTGCTTATTTCATCCAGATCATGAGGGTGAACGGCCTTCAGTTTCTTGAACTGCAGTGTCATTATAGTCCTTATATACCAGGACAGCGATCTAGCATTTACATTAACTGTTAAGGAGTAGAACCTTGACTACAAACCTAAACTGGAGTGTTTTCCCAGCTACTGAGCTGCTAAAGCTGGCCCAGAAGTATAGGCCAGAGAGCGCAAGAAAAAAAGCAGAGGGTGTTGGCCCCGGGCCGAGAAGAAAGCTGCCGGCAAAGGAGATGTCCCCATCAAGAGACCGCCTGTCCTTCGAGCGGGTGAGTAGACCCCACCTTAGGGTGAACACTGGGTGCCGGCTGTTGCAGTGATGTAGAATTTCTTCACCTGAAATGACTGAAGAGTAAAAGGGAGTTTTTTAACACTGAGTCAACACCTGGGCCCAGCAGCTGCTTGTGACCAGAGCGGCCCCGTGAATGCTCACAGTGATTGTGTGTTCTAGGAGTTAACGCCGTCACTGCCTTGGTGGAAAACAAGAAAGCCCACCTGGTGGTGACAGGTGTGTTTGCCTGTTGACTGCTAATCCAAGGGCTTCTGTCAGTACCGGGAAGAGAGTAGGCCTAATGATGGGTCAGTGACGAGACGGAAGTGGGTGGGTGAGGACAGTACTGCCAAGGGATCCAGCTCAATGCGTCACTCTTGCGGTGATGTGAATCTCACCGAATTCAACCTTGAAGTGGAAATCCATGAGTTTTTTAACCCTGAGCAGTTGCTACCGAGCTAGCTTTGAAATGTACTGCTTTTGGTCCAAATACACTCTTCAGCTAATGCTTTTTTCCAGCTGGTAGTCTTCTTGCCTGCCCTGTGTCAGAAAATGGGAGTCCCTTATTGTACTATCAAGGGGAAGGCAAGACTGGGACGTCTCCTCCACAGGAAGATCTGCACCATTGTCGCATTTACCCTAGTTAATAAGTACACGGCCTGCCCGAAGACTTCCCCAGTGCATTGAATACACGCGTCACAGTTGTTTTCCTTAAAGGCCGATCTTTTAATACATTTATCTGAACTTTTGCCAATGATGGTTAAGAATTTCTTCACCTGAATAAACCGTGTGGTCACATTACATCTGAGGCAAAAGTCTGTTTTGAGCAAAAAATGAAGACACTTACACATTCCAAAAGGGAAACAGAGAGGCCAAAAACCCACTTTGGTTTTCCATCCTGCCGTGTTAGGGAAGACAAAGGCGCCTTGGCTGAGCTGGTGGGAGCTGTCAGGACAGACTGCAGTGACAGATAGGATGAGGTAAGAGCAGCTTCACACAAAATACTGTCATGTGCTAATCTTTTTCCCAAACAACTGGCTGGCTTAACGTATGAGCAGTTCTATTTGGTGATCAGCTTGGAACAGCCCAACAGAACCATGCAGTAACCTTGAAAATCTCAGAAAACAAGAGGCTAAGCTGACTCCCTCTTTTTGTGTTTTCAGATTCGCCGTCACTGGGGAGGTAATGTCCTGGGTCCCAAGTCTGTGGCTCACATCGCCAAGCCTGGAAAAAGGAAAGGCCAAAGAACTTGAAAGTGATTCGGGGTGAAATGTACATAGTGGAGTTTGCTGTAAATAAAAATAATTTAAATGATACAAATTTTTCCTTCAGCCGATGTCTGTTGGTATCTTGGGTTGAATCTTACTTGGGGTTAGCAAGTATCTTTTTTTTGCGGGGGAGTGGGGGGAGAAGGACCCTGACTGTCCTCCAGGCTGGAGTGCAGAGGCGTGATCTCAGCAACCTTTGCCTCCCGGGTTCAGGATAATCTGGTGCCTTAGACTCCTGAGTGGCTGGAATTACAGACCCACACCTGGCTGATGTTTGTGTTTTGGGTAGAGACGGGGTTTTGCAATGTTAGGCTGGTCGCAGCTCTTGACCTCAACTGAGCCGCTGCACCCAGCCCTTCTTTCTCACCCTTAGACATTCTTAAACCAGACACTTTGTTCCTTAGAGATGTAATTTTCATGTTAAGTTTTGGGAAAGTTCTTTGAACTGACTGAAACAAAGTCAGGATTTTATGATCAGCTAGTCATGAGCTCATGCAAGGTAGAAGGCCCAGAAGTTTTATTTATCCCAAGAGCACATGATCCAGCATAAAGGTAATGTTTTCAAATACGTCATTATTCAGGGATAGGGCTTTAGCAGCTGGTCTCACACACCAGGTGTTCCACGTACAAATTTCTTAATCCACAGGTATGATGTAGCTGCAGAGAGTCCATACCTGGGGTTGTAAGAAAGCCAGTGTTAGTGGGCTGCTGGGCTGAAGGGGAGGGAGCCAGAGGGCCGCTGGGGACTCACCAGGTTATGATGTACTGCAGATGCTCATTCCTCAGAGTGACTCTGGTTTGCCCTCCAATGGGTCCTCCGGGGACTGTGCTTTCTGCAGAGACAGTGGACTCAAGTCCACCCTCTGCTGCCTGCCAGCCTCTGCACTACTTCCTAGTGGCTGTGATTTTAATTGGAAATCCTGTGTGGCCTTTACCTTGGCCTTGACCCCTCAGTACTTGCCTAGCTAGGTTCCCTTTGCTGAGTTGGCACATCCCCCATACGCACGTGTGAGAATGTATGCCACAGCAGGGACTGGGTGATGAGGGTTAGGAGGAGGAAGGACAGTCTTCACAAAAGCTACTTCTTGTGGGGTGAGCTGGTCACAACATACTGAAGTCAGCATCAATGAAGATGGGCTCTGCGCCTGTGATTCTGGCCATAGCCTCCAGGTCCCGGTAATGCCAGTGATTCCTTTCTGGATTGTTCTCGGGGACAAAAGTCTTCCTGGTTTCTGTCAGCCTCACAGTCCCAACGAGGTCAACTTCTCCCTCAATCTATAAAGGAAGGTGAGAAACCATGGAGCCTGGCTGACTCCCAGAGCCTTCTGTAAAGTAGGAAGGGTCCATGTCCCTTACCTGGCCTTTCTGCCGGGTTTCAGGATTCACTTTCTTCCTGGGAACGAACCCTCTATTTACCAGGATGGTGATTCTAGGGTAACGAAAGTGCTGTTTAGGTGGGGAGGGTCTCTGAATAAACGCCATCACTCATGGTTACTCAGGCACCCATAGGAACAACTACAGCACCAAGGAAGTCTTTTAAAACAGGACTGGCTCAGTGGAGCCCTGGCAGTGCCACACAAAGTCTCCTGAGGCCCTTTGGTAAAAGCTTCCCTGCCACCTCACCACTTTTTACCAATGTGGCTTTCCCCTCTATCTCTGCTGCTTTCCTTGTGCTCTCCCACTGCAACGTGCAACTGGTGACCACTGCCATGCCAGAGCTGAGACCCCACACCACCTCCCTGAACTAGCAATGGCTGCCTCCAATCCCTCCTCACAGAGGTGGCAGCCGTGAGGAGAAGCCCTGGCACCCCAGCCTGCTGGAGATGGAGGATTTGGGACCGACCCATCCCGGGCCTAAAACCGGAACCCATGGGCTAACAAGGGCCCCAGGTATTTTCATTTGTACATTAATCCTCCAGGTCCTCTGAATCACACAGGTGCTCCTGTGCCTGTCATTTGCTTTGCCTGGAATGTTCTTCCCATCTCTTAACTGCCAAATGGTCCCCTAGGGAGCCATTCCTGACTCCACTCCCTCAAGGTAGGGCTGGGATCCCTTCTCGTGAGTTCCTCTCGTTGGCCCCTCCTCATACCCCACCATCATCTAACGTGTGGGCCACTAGAGAGTTGCTCCAGAGAAGGGGTCCCCGTTTCATGAATCCCTCCTTCCCCTTCAGAGGTCAACATACAGAAATTGTTCAGTCATAAATGAGCTGGCTGAGAAGTTTAAGTCAATGTCACAATTAGGAATTTTAACAACTATGCAAGGAATTGAATCTTCTGTGTATCTTGGGTTTCCCAGGGTCTTACCCAGGTTAGGGACTGTGAAGGAACTAGTGATGTACATTAGTACACCCTGACTGGCTCTGCCAGGACAGCCAGCTCCCCCACGCCCTACTCACCCCAGGTCGGCGCAGTGGAAGGGAGTGACCACATAGGCCCCAGTCTCAGCTGAGGAGGAGATGCGGCCGGCCTCCCGGGCCTCCCGGGCAGGGTCCACCATAGTCCGGGGCATCATATACAGCTCCTTGGAGTGGTCAAAGCACCCCCTGACTTTCACTGGCCTATACTCCAGATTTTTCAGTTCCACTGGGCTGCATGGAGACAAGAACAGTGCCCGAGCAACGTTTGGCCGGAAAACGAATCCCCTAATGTGGGTGACAGACTACACAGCCCACCAGGGCCAGACAAGGAAAGGAGAAAGGTAAAGGGCATCCTCGCCAAAGGGAAACTGGCCCTTTGATGCCATATGGGAATGTGGCTCTGCGCTCCCAGAGTCCAACTTTACAAAAAGCTAAAAATCTGGACTCCTCAATGCATATTTTATGTGAAATTTTTTAAAACATGTGGGCCAAAACCTCATCCACAAGCCAAATCTGGCATCCCGTCTGCTATGCTGAATGGAACATTTGCTTGGGTATACCTGTCTGAGGGTATATTCTAGGGAGAGGGCAGTCAAATCATTTAGGGCACTTTTTCAAAAGACCACCCTCACGGTGAGACCTACAGGGCTTTGGGCCCTGTGGAGGATAAGTTTACTACACCTGAAAAAAGAGTGACACACAGGACCCCAAATAAGACCTTCCTCCCTATGTCAGGAGGCGGCCTCAGGTAGCTTCACAAGGGCAGTCAGGCGTCAACAACAAGCCCAACAGGATGAATGATATTGACAGCTCTCATCTGAGGTGAAGGAAGTGACTAAAAGTCCTGCCAAGAGGGGCAGGCCGCCCAGCAGAAGCCAGGGCTCCGCTGTTGAACTCAGGTGAGATCTGCCCTAGGGGCGCAACCACACACTTACTCTGCGGGCAGAGGGACAGGCTCGGCCAGAACTCTAGATTCCAACTCTGCAATCAGGTTCAGCTTCCACTTCCGACGCTGGACCTACAGTGACAGAGCCTAAGCCCAAGCAGATGGCAGCAGGGTCAAGGGCCCAGAGTTACCCCACCAGGTGCGGGTCTTTACCTGCCATGTCCCCAAGCCAAAAGCAGTCACGGGGATGAGGAGCAGGACCCACCGGAGAAAGGAGTCATCTTCCGCTTTTGTGGCAGATGCTTCTGCTGCAGAACTGCCACACCTGCTTGGCCTCCAGGCCACCTCTGGAGAAAGTTTCACAACACTGACCTGGAGGCAGAAGCCCTTGAACAGAGACCTGGGGCAGCCCGTTCCAAAAATGACTCCAGTACTGCCTGACAGAATGTGGCACAGGAGGGAACAAAACCTGCTGCCTGGAGCCTACCAGCAGCCCCTGTGTCCAGCCCAGCCCAACCCAGTGCCCGGGACATGGCACACACTGAGTATGCTTGCCGACTGAGTGAGATCTAGGGCTCAGCGTTGGTTGACCAACTACGACCCTGGGTAACTCACGCCTTTTTACTCAAGAATATGCTAAGACGTATTCCACTGGACTAAGATGCACCATTCATCCACTCAAAATGCATTTGATAAGCGGCCAGTTACTAAGTCGCTCAGCCAGGCGCTCGTGGTTGTGTTATGCAGAGAAACATATCGACTCAAGAGTAATGGTTCACAAAGCACTTAACAGCGTTCAGTTTTTACAACTAACCGTGACGACACGGAAGAATGTACACAGAAGGTGCCTTTAAGCTCTCAGAGGGCGAGTCCCATCGGCTGAAAAGCACCATGGGGGCCTTGCGGATACTAAAAAAAAGCAAAAAAGCAGTAATAAAAAGGCAGGCCTGAAGCAGGCTTGCACAGCACCCTATACACATGGCAAATTACCCTGTGCTGCAGAGAGAAACAACACGTAAGCCCTGGTGGTTCGATGCCCTTTACTTTCAAAACCCTGAGCTTTAAGCCTGGGCTGGCCTCCCATTAGCTGGAAGGGACGTTAGGAAGTAACTCTCGAGCCTTCTCTGTAACACAGGAACGACAAAGGAGCTACCCCTCGCGTTGTTGTGAGGACAAAGCGCTTGCTACATGCCCGGTACACGACCGCGGTTCCACTAAAAGCATTTTAATATGGAACCTGTCACTCCCAGGGAACCTCAGTTCTGCCGGCAGTGGGTTCATTTCAATCCCCACGACA